ATGTACAAAGTGTATAGTTTGATAGTTTTATATCTACTTTGTAGGTATTTGAGCATTGGTGGAGCAATAGGAATAAAATTTCCAATGTGCAATTTAGATTAATAAAGGAATAAGGAAAAATAAAAAGCCATTTGAAGTTGCACAGAGAAAGCAACAAAAGTTATTATTCTGATATGCATCACCGAGCGACGGTGGGGCAAGAAACCTTCATGTCTGCATCGTCGGGAGGTGGTGGAGCGATGGGAGTTGTTCATTTTTCCAGTTGCCTTTGCCTTGCTTCGCTGTTCTGTCTCCAGGCGAGGAATAACGATGTCGCCAGGAGAGGCATTTTCTTTGTCGGGCGATGGGGGATATTTATGTTATTTCTCTGAAATCATGATTGGTATAGATTTTTGTAAAACTAACATTGCAACAACATGTTGAACAAGATGTTTCAACTTGAAGATTAATATGTCAAATTGGATGTCCTAACCAGAAGTATATGACATCTGGTCTATTACAGTTTTGCAATTTGGAAGATGTTTCAACTTGCAGATTCAACATATCGAATGAGATGTCCTAACCAAAAGTATAGGACATTTGGTCTGTTACTGTTTTTCAATTTGGAAGATGTTTCAACTTGTTATTTGAACATGTCAAAAGAGATGTCCTAACCAGAAGTATAGGACATCAGGTCTGCTACAGCTGACAGTTTGGATTCAGTTATTGTGATTCAATTACTCAATATTCTGAGAATATTTAGTAATCTTATGTGGTGTCCAAGATTGATAAATCAGATATTTTATGTTGGTTTTCGAAGATATGCAAAATTTCTAAATATCGAGACAGTTTAGGAAACTAATGATTGAAGACCTATTTTCTTGGAGAAGTTTTTGTAGACTTTGTGCAACCTCTCTACTGCATTTTTTAAGCCAAAATCTAGTTGGGAAAAAGGTTATAAATAGAAGTGTTTGTAACCTAGAAGAGTACGGGTCCAGGATGAGGAATTATTAGGGCTTTGTCATTGTGCCACTCTTTAGGAGAGTTGGTTTGTGTGATTCACTCGGGTTGTGAGTTGGACTATGTTACAAAGTTGTAATATCTGTTATTGTTATCCTCGAAGATTTTAAGCAAGAGGTAGTATTGTTCTTGGAGGAAGATTTTAAGAAACTCTAAGTACTGTTCTTGATCAAAGTTGTGAAGCAAGATCAAGTATGTTGTTCTTAAACAAGGGGTGTCTTGATTAAGATGTTTATTTTGTATTTGAAGTGTGATCTTCATTTAGGTGAGAGGTTGTCGATACAGTAACTAGGACTGGGACTGTTAGACATCATTGCGGTGATTGGATGTGAGGTGGGATTTCTCATATCTAGGGAGGACCTAGGTAGAAGTTGCACAGGGTAGTGATTAAGTGATTAGTTGTAAACTTGGGATTAATTTAGCTTTGAATTGATATTGTCTAGTGGATTTTCTTCCTGGCTTGGTAGCCCTCATAGTAGGTGTTGAGTTACACCAAACTGGGTTAACAATTTTGTGTGTTGTTTTAATTTTCACAACTGTTTTTATTTGTTATACATTGCCATGTTTGTTTTAGTCAGAACAGATGTTGCGACATTCTATAGGACATTTGTGATCTAATTTACCAAAATTTCAATTGGTATCAGAGCAGTCATCTTGTTCTATTTCTGGGTGAGATCTTAGGAAAATACTTTCTAGTCATGGGCAAGGAAAAAGGTTTATAGTAAAAAGTTGTTTGAACATGGTCAGTTCATATTATTGTTTAAATGATCCCTTGAAGTGGAAGATGGACTATTTGTGACGGGATGAGATGTGGTCTTGTCTGAAGGTGTAAGACATGGTAGTTGGAAGTAGGCTCTTGTGCTTGTGTTTTATTGTTTGATTTATTTTCAAACCTATGTTGCTTTGTTGTCACCTGGTTTGTGGTGCTTATGTACAAGGGTGACTAAGCCATGCCTGAAGGTTGTTGAGGAGTTTCCTAATTTGTTTCTTTCTGCTGCATTTGTATCTGATGGAAAACTCCCAGTGTTTGGTGAGTTCCTTGGAAAGATGTTCTTCAAGATGTTAGAACATCCTATCAGCAAGGTGTGCAGAATCCTGCTGCACTAAGGGTTGGCATAACAGATGCTCTAGGTGCTAAACAAATGTGTAGTGATCATATATGTTTAGAACCTACTCCTAACCTGGAAGAGGAGGCATTTGTGCTATGTGTCTAAAAGGTTTCTATTCTAGAAACATGTCTTGGAAAAGTATGTTTGGTTAAGACATGATCAACATATTGATTACTTCTTGGATTAGTTTATTTCTGATCTAAGAATGTAAGGGTGCATAAGTTGAGCTTGTGGTTTTCTTTAGAGACTTGTTAAAAACATCTCAACAAGATTCTTCATGTCCAGTCTAAATGTCGAGGACATTATCTCTGACATCTGGTAGGTTCCAATGACCAAAGAAACCAGATTTGTGTGTAGGAGTCAAAGAAAGGGACTTGAAGTAGCAGTTGTTTAAGATAACTGGCTGGTGTTTATTCTTATAAATAGAATAAAGGTTGTTAACTCAAACTTTATATAAATATCAAGTCTATGAGAGCATGGAACTCTTGTTCTGTTACGAGAAGAAAAGTTATCCAAGGAAGGATAATGTATGGAGATGTATCAATCTAAGCTTAATAGTTTATGGGTGTCTGCACTGTTGGAGTATCATCCAAACTGTTTGGGATGAGCTTTCAGTTGTTTTTTACTTGAGTAATGTGGAGCTGGTTGATAATGCCTTATTGGATTAAGGTGTTTTTACTCAAGGGAAGACCTCCTCAAGCTTAGGTCCAATAATATGGTGTCCCCACTGTCGCGCGCAAAAAAACACAGAGTCTCCACTGAACTCTGTTTATCCAGAAGGAAGGGAAGATATCGAGAGAACCTCAAAGAAATATATAATATGGTCTCGCGACCAAGATAAAGGGTACATAAGTCGGTTATGCAAGGGGGAGGTATTAGCACCCCACGCGTCTGTGGTACTCCATAGGATCCACTTAAGTTTGCTCTAATCTAAGGGTGTGTAAAAATCTATGTCTAAAGCTTAATGCTAAGAGGGAATGCATGTGAAAGAAAACACGAGGAAAAGAAGAAATATTTATAAAGTTTTGCTTGCCTAGGCCCCGCGACCTAATGCATACGTATCCCTTTCGAGGAATCAGAGCGTCATAGTTTGGCTCAAAAGTTTTGGTTTGTTGTATGTTTTTTACCTTGAAAAAGGGTTTTGAAAGAAAAAGCCAAGCGGAAAAATGAAGTTTGAATTGGTTGGTATTTTTTACCTTGAAAAAGGGTTTTTGTAGTATTAGAATGTTTTATGAATTTGAAAGAAAAAAGGAGTTTTAGTTTTAATGCAAATTCAAAAGAGAAAGAAAGAGGTATACGGAAAACTAGCAAAGTAAACCTAGAGTTGTCATGCATGGTTTGCAACCTAAGGCCTATCACAATTCACTTCCTAAGATTGAATCGAAAAATTATACGGGAGCATGTAATCGTGCAATAAAAAGTAAACACACAAAACTTGAAGATCCACTCACTCAAGTAGCACACGCCTAACCGAGGCATCATGTCACCAAGGAAGGATAAGGAGAGGGATTACACCTAACCATAATATTTTATCATCGAGGTAGGATAAGGAAGAAGGGGCACCTAACCATGATATCGAGTCATCAAGATAGGACAAAGGGAGACTTAACCAAGATATCGAGTTATCAAGGCAAGCATAATAGGAAGTGTCAATTCTTAACCAAGATATTGCGTTATCTAGGCAAGGGACAAACAAGAGTGAATCGTCATAGGCGACTAAACACCTAACCAAGATATTGTATCATCGAGGTATGAGATATAAGGAAGTAATGAGATCACATCTGAGCGTCAACATGCGCGACACATGAGCTAATGACAAGGTGTGGGGGTTGATTGCAAACCCTCTGTTCCATTTGACTGATTCGATACAAGAATAGCACTATTCATAACATCGACGTACGACACAAGCTACGAATAACCTGTGGACTAGAAATGGCGGGGGTCAATTGTAGACCCTCACTTTTCCTTATGCCTTCCTTGAGGACTTATCAATGGGGATTGGGAATAAGACGCCTTCATTAAGGTCTTTGGCACAAATATAAACACACAAAATGGTAAACAAACAAGCGCACATAGGAATTTCCTGCTACAGGTCTTTTAAGACAACATTTCTCGCCTAACGCAAGGACTCTCAGTCATGCATCTCTAGTCCTACTTCTCATGGCAAAGAAAGCAAAAGACAATGCGAAAATGAGGAATAAAATAAAGTCACGATGATACCTAACAGAGAAGGTTTATTGCCTCTTCGAAGCCACACAAACAAAGAGAAAACACTACAGAAGCTGCTCTGCACAAGTGATCAAAAGAATTAATCTCTAAGCATTCCACATCACAAAAGTTGCATCAATACTATTACAAAAATCTTGGCTAAAAATGGCAACAAAATGATTACCAAACATGAAAAAATAATAGAAAACTCGAATTGAAATCCTAAAGAGAAATCCTAAAACATACTAAAATATTCTAATATTTTTGTATTATTCATCACCAAATTTTATCAAAATTAATGACGATCAGAATTAATAGGAAAAACAATTGAAATTATATACACAAGGGGTGCTAAAACAAATACAAGATACGAGACTCAGGAACCATGGCTACAAGCAACAATTAAGCCCAATCCATAATCAACCTTTTTTACAAATCAGAAAGCCAACAAAAATTGCCCTTTGGCCAAGGACAAGGGTGGTTCATTCCATACCCATAGCATCTATCAGCCCATTCTCAATCTCATTAATCACCAAAATTTATATCATAATTATTGACAATATTGACAATTAAGAAGAAAAAGATTAAAGAAAAAACAAATAATTAAGAGACCATTGAATACGGTGCGTTTTGTTCTGTATTTAGGGTTAAGAATATGACTTTTCATCTTCCTCAAACACAAACTCCTCCCTCCTCTCTTCTCACAATGGCACAAGGTCTTCTCTTCCTTTCCTGATTAAACTCTTGCGCCGTACCAAACCTCTGTTCTCCGCGCTATTACCAGCAAATTCTCTTCGCCTCTCGCGAAACTCAATGGTGCATCTCCATCTTCTCTTCCCCTTCAAAACCCAGCGCGACGGCGCTATCTCTCCCGAATCGTTCTCAATATGTCCGTCATACCTCCGTCTCATTATCTTCGTCTTCATTTTTCATTCATTCCTCCATCATAGACAAACATTACGACACCGTACGCCGCTTCTAGAGGCGATAACTCAGGAAAGCAGTTGACGCAGAGAAACAAAGAGAAGTGGAAGGATTTGTTTTACCTACCGGAAGAAAGCATCGGTGGATCTTGATTTTGGCGATGAAGCAAAATCAAGAGACCCTAATTCAGGTAATAATTCATGTTTCTCTGCACCAAATCTTCTTTTCTCTTATAAGTTTCCGTTATTCTTCTTGTGTTCTGGTTCTGAATTGTGGTGTTGATGTCGTTCTTGAGGTGATGATGTTGCCTTGCGTTTGATGAAACGGAAATGATGAAGCAGAGAGGATTGCAGTGAAGTTCTATGACGCGAGATCAAGAATAATGCAGGTGTTGCGATGATTGAAGGAAGATGATGGTTGAGGTTGCGGTGGTGGCAGAGAGGGAAGGTTGATAAAGGTGATGGAAGGTTTTGGATTGAGGAGGAAGAGAAGGTGCAGAAAGTGCAGAAAGTGCGGAGAGAGTTGAGAGATAGAGAGAGATGATGAAAATTGGAAAATGGTGCGTGGGAGGAGTGAAAAATGATGGATAGCGTGTTCTGTTATATAGTTGATAGTTGAGTAGAAGGATGAAGTCAGTTACAAAAAAGGAGATCCTGGCCATTGGATTAGTGGAAACGGTTATGAGATGAAGGGTAGAGATTAAGTCAGTTATGGAGTTTGTTTTGTAGTTTTGAAATTTCTGTTATGGTTGTTACATGAGCTGGCATCTGTTATTGGACAGTTAGATTCAATTTTCTCTGCTTGTTGCTGAGTTTCAATAAACTGATTTTCCATGTTTTGATAAAATAAGCTGACTTGAACGGATGATTGTAAGGTTTGACTCCTCATTCTGATTTATATTTCTGCTTCTGTTTCCTATTAGTCTTCAGCTTCCGTTTTCATTTTCTGTTGACTCTGTGGTGTCTTGTTCATGTGTGTATTTTATTTTTGATGTTATGGATCTAGTTAACATCTTTGCTAGCACTTATACATGAATTATTACTGTGTGGATCGGTTATGGCTTCCTTTTTATGATGTTTGATTATGTAGTTGGCCTATGATGACAAATTGTGAATCCGTATTAGTAACGAACTGATGTGAACATTGATTTTGTCGGCTGGTTACAAATTGAAGCTAACTTGGTTAAAGTACAAGTGAACACCAATTACCAAATTGAAGATAACTTGGTCAAAGTACAAGTGAACACTAATTATTTGGCCATGAAGAGATTCATACATTGGATGCAATATGAAGTGGCTTAAGAGAATTAAGTCTTAGGGAGGATTTGTAGAAGTCTTGGTCAATTGTTCATAGTCAAAAGTGTACATCTTTCCCATGTATTTTCAATTTTGAATTTGTAATGAACTTTTGGCTTTTGAATTTGAAAAGGCATTGTGTATTGAACCCTTGAATATGTAATGGAACATACCTTCTCTCAAAATGATTTGAAATTCACATTTCTCTCCACTTTTCCCTATTTGAAATTGAATCTCAAGCTTTCCTTCACTTTTGTATAAATGAATCAATATATGAAAGCACAATAGTTTAAAATGGACTTTGAAACGATCCATTGCTTTAAAACTTGGAATAATCCATAAAACCATAAATAAACTCCAATCCATGCACTAAATCCACAATATTGTCTTACAACGCAAATAACTAAGTGAAACAAACTTCAAATGTTGATAAGCAAAAGAAATCCTAATTGTGAGAAATGTGTCACGTAAAAGCCATGAAATTAAACCTTTAAGATCCATCTGATAACCACTAGCATAAAGAAGTGAATATTTATCCATGATTAATGAGAGTATCTGTTGAAACAACATTGTAGTTCACAATATCTTCCTTTGAAGTGTTGAAGGAAACCCTGTCGTTAACAAACATAACCTTAATCCACTTGATTTTGAGGCATCTTGATGAAGAAGCTTGATGAAAGAAGTTCACAATGTCCATGGATCCAAAACCCTAGTTCGATAAACCATGGTTGATGAATAAACCAATTGAAATAAGCTTGTGCGAAGACGAAAGCCTCAAAGCATAGAGAAACCCTAAATACTCAATATCCTTGATCCCATGTCAAATTCTTATTGATTAATGATGCATGATGTGTAAAAATGACCTAAAGGAAAGGTAATGCATATGAAGAAGCGTAAGACGCATAAGCCAAATGATTTTATTAAAGGGTAAGACAAATTTGGGGTGTGACACCCACATGATGGAACATTTGATTATGCACAAGGGCTAAAAGTGCATCATTGAGCCTTGTAGGATTAGAAGAAGCAAACATGTTTGTGGTATGGTGCTGGTTCTATACCCTGTTTGTTGTAGTCTGCCCAAATACCTATTAGAGGGAAACTCCACTTTAGGTGTAGAATGTTGGCATCAGACACCTTAAAGCCAGACAAAAGGTCTGATCATGTAGCTTCTTAAGGTATGTATCATGCAAGTTACTGCATGTGTTTATGGTCTGATCTGAAAGGGTGATTAGCTGTTGTTGTGTACTCTTGTGTCCCCTGCAAGAGTTGTGCACAGATTTCTATGGATGTTGTCTTCAAAACCATATTAAATGTCAAATACATGTGTTTGAGATTGATGCCAGGTCTGATGTTGGAACATCATCTCAAAGTGTGTTTTACTCCTTCAGCCAAGGAAGTTTGTGTTGCTCATGATGGAGTGTAAGGTCAAGCTGCTGACCTAATTTGGAGTAGTTTGTGATGTGAATGGTTGTCATGAATGTTTGTCATGAAGAAGAACCAGCTGGAGCCAGATGTGTGCAGATAAAGGATGTTAGATCAAACGTCCTATCTTGTGTGAGAAGGTAGCCTCATCCGATTAACGGTAAATACTTTGACGGGAGCTAAGTATTTGTCTATCCTCTAATGAGGTTGTGTATCTAACTGATGATAAATACTCTGACGGAAGTCGAGTAAGTATGTGATGTGAGGATGCAAATCTGCAATTTGAGCTCTTTGCTTCAGAGAAGGTGTGAGAGTATATTTCTCACCATGATATTTAGAAGTGGCATGTTTTCATCATGGTGGAGTGTAGAGTTGTGTTAATTCTTTCGTTATTATTTGGACTCAAATTTTGGTTCCATAGCTTGAAGTCGCTTTTGGTGATTGTTCCAATTTGAGTGTTTCAACTTGTGGATGTATGGTAATGATAGTTTTTGAAGTTGGTACATGTGAGATACTCGTTTATCACTTTCTATAGCATAACATGTTTAGGAAACCTTTCATTTGTATAATTACTATACCATTCATTCTTTTTGCATTACTTGACTTGAACCACTTTAGTTCCCTTTTTACCCCAAATGTGAGGAAGCTTTCCATTGTTCATATATGCTAGAGGCCACAATTATTTTTTGAACTAGATTTCATTATGTTTAATCTTTTGTTTCTGTTGATTGTATGAAAGCATGAAAGTGATCAAGGTATTTTTTTTACTTTAAGCATAACTGCCTAGCAAAATAGTCAATTTATCTTGTGAGTGTGTGAACTTTTGTTAAACCCTTTTGAGCCTTTTTATCAATGTCCATGTTGTTTTTGAACCTAATGTTTGTCTATGAGTGTTTGGTTTTCCTTTTTGATTGGATGTTGATTCTTTATTTTCTTGAGCCCTCAACTATGATTTTTAGTTGAACTTTTACCTTGCCTTAGAAAGTAGGGAGTATTCACTCATTAACGATGGTTGAATTCAAGTTGGGGAGAAGAATTTTTATGTGCTTATGTTGTGATTCCTATGAGGTTGTGAAAAAGAAAAGAAAACAAAAAAATGTGAGAAAGAAAAAGAAAAAGAATTTTTTTTTTGAAAAAACTTTGAAAAAGAAAAACAAAAAGAGTATGGAATAATGTTGTGTTAATAAGTATTGAGACTGGTTTGTAAACTTTGGGATGAAGAAAGAAGTTTGATTGAAATTTTGTGTTTGAACTTTTGTGAGTTGATCACTCCCTTAGGTTTAGGCAAGTTTTGTTTCGATTAACTTTAGGACTTATACCTTGTTTGTTAACCAAGCCACATTACAACCTTGAAAGCCCTTATGATTATTGCCTTTATATTTTCAATATAAAGTTTTAGATGAATGCATAATTTAGTCTATTATTTCCAAGATTGTGGATGAGTGTTTTTGTCTCTCACTTTTGTGTGTTCTTCATCTACCGGTGAATTTTTGCTAGGTGTGATTCAATTTTTAGCTTCTTTTGTTTTAGAATGTTTAGTATGATTTTTGTACTTAAGATTTGTTTCGCTTACATGTTATCGTTGTACGTTCGTGGTAAGTTTTTCCTTGCGTGTGCGTTTTTGTTTGAACCATACTTTTTTTTCTTTCCATTTTTTAAAATCTGTTGATTCATGATTATTTGGTTTATCACTTTTGCTTTTTTTAAGTTTGTTTGACCTTGTTTGAGGACAAACAAGTTCCAGTTGGGTAGAGTTTGATAAGTACAAATTGTAGCTATTTTTGTATATACTTTTTGTTGCACTTACTGACTCTTTGTGGTTAATATGGGTTAAATAAACTTGTGTAAATACGTTTAGTTTGTGTATATTTGCCTTTTCATGTACAAAGTGTATTGTTTGATAGCTTTGTATCTATTCTATAGGTATTTAAGCATTATTGAAGCAAGAGGAATAAAAGTTCCATGGTGCAATTTTGATTAATAAAGGAGTAAGGCAAACGAAGAAGTCATTTGAAGTTGTGCAGAGAAAGCAACAAAAGTTATTATTCTGGTGTTCATCGATGGGCGACGGTTGGGAGAGTAGCCTTCGTGTTTGCGTCGCCGAGCGATAGCTGGGCGAGCAGCCTTCACGTCTGCATCATCAGGTGGTGGTGGAGCGATGGGAGTTGGTCATTTTTCCAGTTGCCTCTACCTTGCTTTGCTTCTGTATCTCCAGGCGAGGAATAAAGGTGTCATCGGGCGAGGCATTTCCTTCACCAAGTGATGGAGGATATTTTCCCCTATAGCTTACGTGGCGCAGGCTGGGCCAAGTGTATAAGAGTCGTCGTCGGGCGATGCTTACGAATCAATTTTTTTTTTATATTTCCT